CCAGTAACGGCACTCCATCAATATACACGAATATCAAATTCAACTCATGCATCCGGACATAAAAAATGCCAACGTCACATTAATTAAACTACTCGACCATCACACAGAGTGGTTGACAAATGGGATGCATTAGGCAGTGATGTGGTGGAGGCAGACTCCATACACAGTTTCAAGTGTAGATATGATAGAGTCCAGTAGGCTCAGGAATCTGTACACCTATTGATTGACGGTTGAGAGGTGGGACCAAAGAGCCAGAGCTCAACCCCCGCAAACACAACTAGGTGAGTACAACTAGGTGAATACAGAAAGACTACTCCACGATGTGTCGTCTTACTCAGAAAGATGGTGGCCCAAGAGCTTTGTTCTACTCGACGGCAATAAACTCCCACAATACATAACTCCAAGATGAACTACAGATCACAAAACCCACGAGAGAAACTCCTCTCCCCCCTGAAACATAACATCACCGTCCTTTCGGACGTAGGTTCGAACCCTCGTCACGGCCCTTGTGGATTTGTTCATAACATCAAAATACGTACACAAGCACCTGAGTGACTATGGGTTAACGCTACACAGTATTTATCTGTGAGACACTCATATGTGAGTAAACCTCACAAACACTCATGGCTATCTGACAAGCGAGCAAGTTTAGCATAGATCCCCACCACACTCACCCATTGTGTCAGCAAGACCAACACCTCGCCAGCTCTCATAACTTAATCTATATTCCACATGTCTAAATTTTCTTTCATCTGCATCTCCGCCATCTTTATTTTCCCAAAACAAGAATCCAAATGGGAGACGCAAGTCACAACTGTTGCTCCAGGAGCAGCGCTCATTGTGAGAGGTGCTCCCACGCTCTCTCACAGTGCTCATTGTGAGAGGGGGCTCTCACCGCGCTCTTGTCTGGGGCAGAGGCGCTCTCACCACTCACGTCTGTGTAGCGACACTGATCTGTGTGGCAGGCCAGACGTGTCCCTGTTAGCAGACAGCAGCACTAGTTTCCCGCCTACTGCTTCGTCAACCTGGGCCTAGCCCATTAGACGTGGCCAGGCCTAAGACGGTACTATACCACTAAATAGTAAGTCGCAGACTTGTAGATGGCGGAATGCTAATTCGCGGTGTTTATCGGGAAAGACAAATTGGAGTAACCCAAACATCCGGTTTATACCATAATTCTTGTATCGGGTTAATGGGACCACCTGTGAATCCTTAGTATTCATCAAGTTGCAGTAGACACACACATACACACACACACACACACACACACACACACACACACACACACACACACACACACACACACACACACACACACACACACACACACACACACACACACACACACAAACTGAGTGCCCAAATGAGCCACAGAGATATTAGAAAGAACTTTTTTAGTGTCAGAGTGGTTGACAAATGGAATGCATTAGGGGGTGATGTGGTGGAGGCTGACTCCATACACAGTTTCAAGTGTAGATATGACAGAGCCCGATAGGCTCAGGAATCTGTACACCTGTTGATTGACGGTTGAGAGGCGGGACCAAAGAGCCAGAGCTCAACCCCCGCAAACACAACTAGGTGAGTACAACTAGGTGAGTACACACACACACACACACTGGAAGACAGAAGAGTAAGGGGGGACATGATCACAACCTACAAAATCCTCAGGGGAATCGACCGGGTAAACAAGGATGAACTATTCAACACTGGTGGGACGCGAACAAGGGGACACAGGTGGAAGCTGAGTACCCAAATGAGCCACAGAGACGTTAGAAAGAACTTTTTCAGTGTCAGAGTAGTTAGTAAATGGAATGCATTAGGAAGTGATGTGGTGGAGGCTGACTCCATACACAGTTTCAAATGTAGATATGATAGAGCCCAGTAGGCTCAGGAATCTGTACACCAGTTGATTGACGGTTGAGAGGCGGGACCAAAGAGCCAGAGCTCAACCCCCGCAAGCACAATTAGGTGAGTACAATTAGGTGAGTACACACACACACACACACACACACACACACACACACACACACACACACACACACACACACACACACACACACACACACGAGAGAACAATAGGCCACTTTACTCGTAGTTTCTGCCCCGCAGATCAAGGTAGTCTTTAGTTCGCCCGCGGCGGTGTGAAGGAATTCCTTATTGTCATCCCGGTTTGGTATGAGATAGTTTTAGAGTACCTACTACCTACCTCACACTGTCCAGGTACCTCACGCTACAGTGCCTCACACTGCCCAGGTACCTCACACTACAGTGCCTGACACTGTCCAGGTACCTCACACTACAGTACCTGACACTGTCCAGGTACCTCACACTACAGTGCCTCACACTGTCCAGGTTCCTCACACTACAGTACCTGACACTGTCCAGGTACCTCACACTACAGTACCTGACACTGTCCAGGTACCTCACACTACAGTACCTGACACTGTCCAGGTACCTCACACTACAGTACCTGACACTGTCCAGGTACCTCACGCTACAGTACCTCACACTGTCCAGGTACCTCACACTACAGTACCTGACACTGTCCAGGTACCTCACGCTACAGTACCTCACACTGTCCAGGTACCTCACACTACAGTACCTCACACTGTCCAGGTACCTCACACTACAGTACCTGACACTGTCCAGGTACCTCACGCTACAGTACCTCACACTGTCCAGGTACCTCACACTACAGTACCTGACACTGTCCAGGTACCTCACGCTACAGTACCTGACACTGTCCAGGTACCTCACACTACAGTACCTGACACTGCCCAGGTACCTCACACTACAGTACCTGACACTGTCCAGGTACCCTCACACTACAGTATCTCACACTACAGGACCTCACACTACAGTACCTCACACTGCCCAGGTACCTCACACTACAGTACCTCACACTGCCCAGGTACCTCACACTGTCCAGGTACCTCACACTGTCCAGGTACCTCACACTGTCCAGGTACCTCACGCTACAGTACCTGACACTGTCCAGGTACCTCACACTACAGTACCTCACACTGTCCAGGTACCTCACGCTACAGTGCCTTACACTGTCCAGGTACCTCACACTACAGTACCTCACACTGTCCAGGTACCTCACGCTACAGTGCCTTACACTGTCCAGGTACCTCACACTACAGTACCTCACACTGTCCAGGTACCTCACACTACAGTACCTGACACTGTCCAGGTGCCTCACACTACAGTACCTGACACTGTCCAGATACCTCACACTGCAGTACCTCATACTGTCCAGGTACCTCACACTACAGTACCTCACACTGCCCAGGTACCTTACACTGTCCAGGTACCTCACACTGTCCAGGTACCTCATACTACACTACCTCACACTGCCCAGGTACCTCACACTACACTACCTCACACTGTCCAGGTACCTCACACTACAGTACCTCACACTGTCCAGGTACCTCACACTGTCCAGGTACCTCACACTACACTACCTCACACTGTCCAGGTACCTCACACTGCAGTACCTCATACTGTCCGGTACCTCACACTACAGTACCTAACACTGCCCAGGTACCTCATAACACCTTGGTACATAACGTACCTGACACTGTCACCGGAGCAGCCTTGAAGGTCAAGCCGAGTAAGAGAACTAATCTCGCGTGTCACGCCATAGACAAAAAGTCTCCAGTATTGGCCAGGGCGCCAGAGCACCGTAGCCCGCCATCTGTGCTTCACATTGTTCCAGCCTTCGTAATGATTTCATGTACCAGTATTACGCTGAGAGTTTACGTCCTAACGCAACAGCGTTCTTCGTCGTGTCGGTAAGTTGTTCTTGTTATAGATTAAGCTACTCGGAACAAGTTCCAAGTAGCACGGGCTATGGTGAGCCCGTAACTTACCTGGCACAGGAGCGGGGCAAGAAGCACGGGCTATGGTTAGCCTCGTGGACGGGAGATGTCTCCCGTGTGTGTCGGTAAGTGTAGGGTTGGTTTTATGTTTAGCGTTAGAACAGCGGAACACCTCATTCCTTCTCACCACCACCGTCTGCTGCTCGTTACCTGCGGCTCTCAATCACCACTCTACACCCACCTGTTGTCTCCTGCTGGTGATTACCTAACTGCGCTTAACTAACAATTGACTGCGGGGGGAGCGCAGTCGACAGCTATATATACTCCCAATTCCCATCTAGGCTGTCCCTATTGCGTTTTAGTTTTATCTTTTCTAATATGTTTGAAATCTTTGTTGTATTTGGCCTTGAAGTTGGTGGATAGAGGTGGCTTCTAAGACTTTTTCCTCTCCCAATGCATTTGACTTATTGACCAGACTGTAGGAGGCGATTGAGGTGAGGGACTGCGATAAGCTGCAGGAACTGTGGCAGTGTATAGCAGGTGTTGTGGCAGTGTATGGCAGGTGTTGTGGCAGTGTATGGCAGGTGTTGTGGCAGTGTATGACAGATGTTGTGGCAGTGTATGGCAGGTGTTGTGGCAGTGTATGGCAGTGTATGACAGGTGTTGTGGCAGTGTATGACAGTGTATGGACAGGTGTTGTGGCAGTGTATGGTCTCGTTCCATCCCACATGTGTGGTGGTCCCAACATAGCCTGGCTCAGGCCACCCACAAACACCCCTACAGTAGTGTGCTGGGCTTGACTGTTGTACACACTGTAACAACCTCAGTGAACAATGAGCACTGCCTTAACAATCTGGGAATGTAGTCACAGATCCTTTCAGAACGGATTTTCCAGTGGTATTTTTTCGGGGCCAAGACAAGCTCTGATGATTGATTGTTGCTCTCGCTGCGCCATATGTTCTGAACGTGAGTTACAAGGACCGTAGATATGAGAACATCGAGACTGTCCCAACTACAGGAGGTGGGACAGTAGTGTGTGGAACCCCAAGGTCACCCCCCCAGGCACTAACTTCTACACAACACACTACATTGATGATATTTGGGCTTCACCTTTGGAATGTGTGTGTGTGTGTTTACTGTGTTCATACCGGACTAACATCTGTCTGTATCTTGCAGGAGGAGCAGCAACAGAGGTCATACACCCACGCCACCCTCGCCGCCCACGCCAAGGTAAGCAACCGCCCACATCCCTAGTCCCCCCCGGCCACCCACACCGCCCACATCCCTAGTCCCCCCCGGCCACCCACACCGCCCAAATCCATACGCTTCCCGTATATATATTCGTGGTGTCTTAACCACTTGTACTCTCTGCCTCTCTCCTCCTGCTCTATACTCGTCCTCGAATGCAAATCAGTTGCAATCCCTTCCTAATTTTGTTTTAATATTGCCCCGGGGGGCGAGTTTATTGGGCAGCGCCATTCATCCTGTGAGTGGACACACCGCCATAGCAGCATGTACAACACCGCCCAATGGGAAGAAAACCCGCTGGGTTGTTTCTCCTGTCACTTGTACCCAGACACAACTTAGGACTTGGTTAACTGTCTCAAGTGAACAGCTTCTCAAACAAGATAATTAACTTTGGCAACCCTTAATATCTTACGTTATCTTGCGGGTGCAAAATGGGGGTCTCTTTTGAGAACAGCATTTACATTTGACAGGTAGTATTTTCCTAACTCAAGCAATGTGGGGTTTATTATGCTACACACATTAATATTTTTAAGTATATTAGTTCTCTTATTTTTTATATTATCTCAGAATTTCTAAATTATTATTTTTGTTTTATCACTTGTAAGAGAGGAACACCGTTACCCTTCAGCTAGGCCGTCACTCCCAGCTTACCCTGGCGTGATATGTATTATATGGGAGGGGGGTAAACCTTCCCCTTAACTCTCACTCTTGACAACATGTCTATGTGTTCACCAGCCTTCTTCCTTCTCTCTCCTCCTCCCCGCAGCTCCGAGCCTACAGGATCTCTCAGCTCTCTCAGCTTCAGTCACAGCTGCAACCACAGCTGCAACCTCAGCTGCAACCACAGCTGCAACCACAGCTGCAACCTCAGCTGCAACCACAGCTGCAACCACAGTTACAGCCACATTTACAGGCACAGTTACAAGCAGAGAGCCAGCACCAGCCACAACTACAGGTAAGTCAAAGTTCACCTCAGTGTTGTGGGCTACAGCAACACAGACTCCAATAATGACAGTACTTGTGGCAACTGTTTGATCAGACGGACACAGATTGGACTCTAAAATGTTCAGGTGTTGTTGTATTACCACAAAAAGGATTCTAAGAACTGGAAATATAACTTAAGAGCCTAACTTAACTCGTCCAAGCAATCTTAGGCCTAATATAGTACATACACATGCTGCACTAGGAATGTTTAAGTTTGGCTTTTGGCTTATTGTTAATGCCCCTCTACAAAATTAATAGAAAATTAGTTTTGGGGTCTTAACAGTCATTTTGTGTAGGTTTGACCAATTAGTTCCTATAAGCACTATTATATGTGCTGTTAGGGTGTACGACGACAGTGCCATTTCTAGTGTGGTGGGTTATCCTTGTGAGGGAAGGAAGGGAGAAGAGAGGACGGGAAGGTGGAAGCTGTCTAACTCCCAGGTACCTATTTACTGCTAGGTGAACACGGGCATTAGGTTGAAAGACACTCTGCCCATTTGTTTCTGTCTCGGCTGGGAATCGAACTCGGGTCCTTAGGATTACGACTCCCGAGCGCTGTCCACTCAACTGCGAGGCCCTCGCAGTGTGTGTGTGAGAGAGAGAGAGAGAGAGAGAGAGAGAGAGAGAGAGAGAGAGAGAGAGAGAGAGAGAGAGAGAGAGAGAGAGAGAGAGAGAGAGAGAGAGAGAGAGAGTAATGATAAGACATAATCTCCCGTTAGGTATTAATTACTGTCTGATCTCCTAACTAAACACTACCTTCTCCCTCCCTCCCCCCTTACCAATACCAAACTACGTCTTGTCTTATTCACCTCATAATCATTCTGTCTGTTGACTCATTTACATTGTAGTTAAACCTCTCGCTGGTTCGGTCACCGCCCTTACAGAATACATATGCCGCGACAGGAAAAATCCGGCTATTTAAACATGTGCTCCCGGAAATGCACTAGCGCCCGTTACGAACACACTCGCGCTGAATACTGTGTACTGGCGGTCAAAATGATCCGGTGGTACCAGGTCTATCATTGTTCTCTATCCTCCTCACACGTTCACACTCATCTATATTATCACACGCTTCTGCTTATTGACAATCCTGCCTCAGTATTGTTGGGCACTAATGTTAGTATATGTATGTATGTATATACACACACATATACTAAACATACTAGGTACTGGTATAGCCGGTGGTGCCCGGGTCGACCTGGGCACCCCAGATCTGTCTCTGTGCTCTCTCTCTCACAGTGGTCAAGTGTAACACGGGCTCTACCCTGCGTGACCTCAGTGGGCGGCACATAAGCCAAACATTCTCTCCTTTGTGTTCCAGCTGGTGAACCACGACAAGAGCCTCCAGCAGGGTGTTGACCTATCAGTAACTATACGACCAGTCAGGTCCGGCTCTGTATGTCCCGCCGACGACCCTTCTTGTACCTATAGCTTTATAATTTAACTGTTTCTGATGTTCACATTCGTAATGAATCAGGCCTTGAGGTGGTTGATGGAAGCGGCTTCCAGGACTGTCAGTGTATTGACTTGTTGACCACCCGGACATTGGGACGGGTTTGTCCTCACATTTCTTCCACTCGTTTCCATTCCCAGCTTTAAATTGCGTCCTCTTGTCCTAATTTCTCTCAATTTGAAGAGGTTGTCCTTGCCCCACCTTGTCTATTCCTCCTCAGTATCTTGTATGTTAGGATCATATTCCCTCTGTTTCTTCTGTCATGAAGGGTTGTGAGGTCACGTTCCCTTAACCTATCCTCATAGCTTAACCCTCTTAGCTCTGGGACCCAATCTTGTAGCAAACCTCTGTACCTTTTTTAATTTTGGGTTTATGTTTCACAAGGTGCGGATTCCATGCCGGTGCTGCATATTCCAATGTTGATTTACCAAAGTCTGTGTAGGTTTCCTCGAAGGAGTTCCAATTTAGGTTTCTTAATGATGTTCTTGTCTTTGCCAGCATCCCATATACTGCCGATGTTACCCTGTGTGCCTCTGGTGCCTCTTGTGCCTCTGGGACCTCTGCTGCCTCTGCTGGACCTCTGGTGCCTCTGGTGCCTCTGGGACCTCTGGTGCCTCTGCTGCCTTTGGGACCTCTGGTGCCTCTGCTGCCTCTGGTGTTAATGTTGAAATTATATCCAACTTTTCGCAAGTCGCAACTTTTTTTTTCCCCCGATTTCTGAAGTTGTCTTCCCCTTATGGTGTAGATCTCCTGTAGACCTGGTCTCCTTTAACAGAGTTACAGCACCGCTCCTGTGCCATGTAAGTCCACTACGGGCTCACCATAGCCCGTGTTACTTGGAACTTTTTGTTCCCAGTAGCTGAATCTAAAACAACAACATTCTGGT